GTTGATATTGCAAAGTCTCGTAGTTCTTAATTTTCGAATCAAACATTAATTGTGAACAGAATCTTTAGTTTGAATATAATGTACACATATATTAATACTCATTTTGTTGCATTTGATTTTTTTTGGAAGCTAGACCCATTTTCGTGATTTTAATAGGTTTCCTTTTTCTTGACTTATATTTTTTGGGTTAGTGAGTTCTTAATTTTTTTCCTTTGTTTGGGTAGAAATGTCTGTAATAATGAATACATTAGTTCACAATCTCCTACATTTATGTACGAAAAATGCAATTTTTAAGATTTTTCCATGACCCATTATTTTGTATTTAATTTGTTGTTTTTCGTTGAATTTTCTCTCATATTTTCAGCTACTATATCTTGAAAACTAGCTTAATTATCGGTAAAAAGATAATGTAGATAAGTTTGTCATAAATCCAACTGCATGCACAATCATCGGCTGGCATGTGGGCCCAAAAAGGGATGTTTTGTGATGTTTGTCAGATTTTGTGGTGAGTTATTTTTTTATTTTATTTTAATAAAAAATATTTTTTTGTGCGATTTTTAATTTAATTCTGGACATTTTTCCTCAATATTTATTCTCTAGATATATATTTGGAGGAACTAAATTTGACATATGTGCACTATCTCTTTGCTTGTTAATTTGTTTGAGTTTGATCTGGGTTACGTTTAAGAAGTATTTGCATGATTATCTATCTTCGCTTTTTGGCCTATTTTTAATGAAATATATAGGAGGCCATTTTTATAAATTGTTTTAAACATATTGCTGATTTGGCTTTGCGAAAAAAAAAATCTTCTGATTTTCTATTGGTTTTATTGTAGCGGTTGAATTGATTGGCATTATAAGGTTCAATATTTCTGCAGCCATATTTTTCTGTGCAAAATCATTGTGATCTTTTGCTTGCTTGCACTAAATTAGGCTTTTGGTTTTCCCAATTCAATTTCAATACTCATGTGAAGGCTCTTCTAGCTATCACTATATAGGGCTTAATGCATTTTAATTGGCCACTTCTCTGAGCACTTTTTCTCAATGTTTGAGTTCCAAAGTCCAGTCACCTGCTTCTGCTTCTACTTTTGAATCACTAAATTTGTGATGGCCTTATTTTTTTTTAGTTTTTTACATTATTTTTTTTAACACTACATTGGAATACACCCTTTCCTTCCTTTTCTCATGTCCATACATTCAAAAACCTCTCTCTCTCTCTCTCTCTCTCTCTCTCTCTCTCTAACATTCTGAGTATAATTTGTCGCATTAATTAAGTTGCTGCTTTCACTCTAAAAATAATAAAAAAAGAAAAAAAAAATCTGCTAAGTATCTGGATTTTCTTCCCTATCAATAAAATCACTGTTTTTTGAATTATAATCATTTATGTGTTCGATGGACGTTTATCATTCATTTCTAGTGAAAATCAGGAGTACATAGCGGTATATGATAATTGATAAAATTCCAAATTGAATTACAAACATCCAAATTGACAGCCATAACTAAAACCAGTTTTATTGTGCAGACCATCCAAAAAAATGATGCTAGTTATTAAACACAACAATTACTACTAATTAAACAGTTGTTTACTGCCTAGAGCCCCCTAAATCATTAATGCTACATGCGTGAATTAAACAGTCGCATTAGCTCTGCTTCGATTTACAAAATTTGTGACGTATTGAGGAGAAAGTATCAAATGTCACGAAATGCATGACATTAAATATGCATCAAATAAATGCCAACCATTATATCATTAAACAGTCAGCATTAGTTGTAGTTATTTTTCTTTTTTTCTCTTTGTTTTTTGGCAGTTGTTTGTGGACCCTACTGCTTGCCAGTCACCCAAGGCGGAGCTCATGTCGGGTTGTACCCCAATATGTTCATGTCCAGACCCGTACCCGTTAGCCCAATCGAGCAAAATCAGCTGCAAAGGATTAACGAGCAGCGACTTGCTAATGAAAACAACGGGAACTACACTAACGGTGATGATATTGAGACGCTGCAGCTTTTCCCCTTGCACCCGACTGGAATCCTCGAAGCTCATGAGAGATCTGAGTGCCCCCTCATCGCCTCTGCGTCGACAGTGGAGCCTGATCAAGGAGTGGAGGAAGAAGACGAGGGGAGTGAGAACAACAACGTCCCTCCCTTAATGTTCAACTTCTTTGGTTAATTAATCAGCAATGTGGCTTGTTCTTAACTTCTGATCGACGTCGGGGTTGTAGTTAATTAGTTACTTATATATGTTGATAAATGATGAGAAAATTATAGTTCATGTTTGGTGCTATGTATTATATATGGTCCTTGACTTTTTTGATGTAAGACGGGGGGGCCATATGCATGGAAAAATTACCATGAAACACAAATGACCATTCTCAAACAATTTCATATCATCTTGAACAAAAAAAAAAAAAAATCTAGAGATACTATAATAAAATCGTCAATTATTCCAAAAACTTTACAAATGAAAGAATCAGATTGAAAGAAAAAGAAAAATTCTACATCAACAATAACTACCAATAAAAACACAATAAAAACTAGGAGCCCAAATAATTACTACAGTCGAAATATATAAGTGCGTCAGCGACGGAGCGGAACTTCGCAGATGGAGCCTCTGCTGGATGTGTCGTGATTGGTGATGGAGGAATTGACGTAGGATTCTTCGATGGAGGTTGAACTGGAGATGGCATATCGTTTGAGGGCGATGGAGCAGTCGACGATGGATCCTCTGTAGTCTCATCCGAGGATGGCGGACTGATGTTAACTTCGATAGACTTTGGGCCCTCCTCCGGTGTAGACATCTTGGGCGGACAAGAGATCCGTGATCGTGGAGATGGAGGAGGCGCTTGCTGCGCGCCTATACGGAAGCGTGCTCGCACACCAAACGAGTTCGTGAGTCACGGGAGAAGATAACCAAACCAAACACGAGCATAATCCAATCCAAAATACGACAAATCAAACCAAACACAGAGATATACATGGTTCGTTAATTTGCCTATGTCCACGAGGGGAGAATGAGATGAGGAGATTTCACTAAATCAAGGAGAGTACAAAGGGTTACAATATCATAAAATCACTCAAATAAACCCTAAACCAAAGCTCTCTCCTTGCTCACAATATCTCACTCTCACAATGCTCAGTACAATCTCAAATCTTTATTAAAACTCTCATCTCTTAACCCTAGAAACAAGTGTTTCTAATTTATATCAAAACCCAATCAGAAAACAAGCAGGAAATAAAACAGCCCAATACCGGCTACGCGGTCGACCGCCGAGCCAATATCGCGGTCGACCGCAAAAAATCCAGAGACTTAATCACCTGCAGAGCTTGGGCGCGGTCGACTGCAGAACTCATCGCGGTCGACCGCCAAAAGTCCAGAGACCGCCGTTGATACGAGTTGCCGTGCGAACACCTGTGATCGCGGAATTATCAAAGATGGGTTGAGAAAAGGATGACAGAAACACAAACACAATTCAGTATATGGTGAAGAAAATTACCTTCTCTAGATTATGAGTATGAAAAGATTACAATCCCTCTCTCACAATCTCACTAGAATCGAGAATAAACTCTCAATTCTCACTAAACCCTAATACAATAATCTCACTAGAATCGAGAATAAACTCTCAATTCTCACTAAACCCTAATACAATGATTAGAATCTCTCTCTGAATTTATCTGATTCTATATGATTCAAGATCTCATAGATCCTCACAATCTAAACCCTAATCCTTTTGATTATGATCTCACTTAGACCTAAAACCCATTAGATCTACATCTGGCCTCCCACCTTCTGTTTAGAACCCTAAACAGTCCCTATTTATAGGGTTTACAATATGGTGGCAATCTGGTAAATAACCAAAACCAAACCCAACTAGAATTCATTCAAAACAGAAACCAAGTCTGCCCAGGAAACCTCGATGAGTCGACTCATGACTGCATATGAGTCGACTCATGACTGATGAGTCGACCCATAAGCTGATGAGTACCGAGAGCAGAAACTTTTGACAAAACGGCTGGGTTTCGTGAGTCGACTCATGACAGGCATGAGTCGACTCAACCTGATGAGTCGACTCATGTACATGTATGAGTCGACTCACGAGCTGAAATCTGGATTCTTCGAATCTGCTGCTCGTCTTCTCGTTCCATGCTTCCACCTGTGCTCTGCCGTATCGCTTCACACTATTATTCTCAAGATATCATGAGAATCACCTATCCTCAAGCTTTCATGAGGATCGTTTTTCTGAAGAAAAGATACACCCGTATCATGGGTCCCCCCTTTAGAAACTTGAAGTCTCATTCAAGTTAGAACTTCAGCTGAGAAAACTCTCGAGCCCCTCCATCTTTGTTGACTTCAGTCATCTTCTTCTTCCTTAAAACTTGGACTCCTTCCAATGAAATAAGGATCTCGCCAAGCTTCTTGTATTGCGATCAAGTCAGGACCATACACAGGATGCCCCCTTTGTAGGATCTGATCGCTCTGATACCAACTTGATACGAGTTACCGTACGAGCACCTTTGATCATGGAATTATCAAAGGTGGGTTGAGAAGAGGATGACAGAAACACAAGCACAATTCAGTATATGGCGAAGAAAATTATCTTCTCTAGATTATGAGTATGAAAAGATTACAATCCCCCTCTCACAATCTCACTAGAATCGAGAACAAACTCTCAATTCTCACTAAACCCTAATACAATGATTAGAATCTCTCTCTGAATCTATCTGATTCTATATGATTCAAGATCTCATAGATCCTCACAATCTAAACCCTAATCCTTTTGATTAGGATCTCACTTAGACCTAAAACCCTTTAGATCTACATCTGGCCTCCCACCTTCTGTTTAGAACCCAAAACAGTCCCTATTTATAGGGTTTACAACATGGTGGCAATCTGATAAATAACCAAAACCAAACCCAACTAGAATTCCTTCAAAACAGAAACCAAGTCTGCCCAGGAAACCTCGATGAGTCGACTCATGACTGATGAGTCAACCCATAAGCTGATGAGTCGACCGAGCAGAAGCTTTTGACAAAACGGCTGGGTTTCATGAGTCGACTCATGTACATGTATGAGTCGACTCACGACCTGAAATCTGGATTCATCGAATCTGCTGCTCATCGTCTCGTTCCACGCTTCCACCTGTGCTCCGCCGTATCGCTTCACACCACTATTCTTAAGATATCATGAGAGTCACATATCCTCAAGCTCCCATGAGGATCGTTTTTCCGAAGAGAAGATACACCCGTATCAGCCGTGCCACTCGCAGTCGACCATGAAAATGCATGTTTGTTTTTAACCTGAACTTCGTCGTTTCTACAATTCTGAACCTCGGCGAACGTTTTTCCAAAACTGAGCCAACACCAATACCAATCAAAATGTTCCACTTGTTGCGTTCAGTATGAAGTGGAATAAACCCACGACAACGAATCCAATCCACAACAAGTCAGGAACCCAAATGAGAATGCGAACAATCTCCAAATATCGGTATCAACACATCAAACCGGCTGCATCAAATTGACTGCCTACGTACCCCCCTCTCCCAAGGGATCAAGCCGTCCGTAGTTCATCCAAATGGCTGTCAACGGCCTCAACAATCATTAATGTGCAACAAGTTCAGACAATGATCAAACTTGTTGCTCGGAACCACCTTAGTGAGCATATCTGTCGGATTATCCTTCGTGTGCACCTTCACAATCTCCACATCACCATCTTCAAGAACATCCTGAACATCACCATCTTCGTGTGGACCTTCGCAGAAAAAGATTTTTCCCGACGTTATTTAAACCTTTGCCGACGTTTTTGTTTCGTAGGCAATTTTGTATTTTGTTGTAGTGAACTATATATAGTTCATAATGATATTGTTATTCATCATTGACTCCATAATATAACTTGGTATTAGTAGAGTTTAGAATATGACATGTAGTATCAATTTAACTTATTTTCTTTTACTATTCTGTTTAAAGATATTATTATATCAGCTGATATCTTTTTCTGCGAAAATCAATTATGATATCCCAGTTAAGTATATTGATCCCAGTTTAGCATAAAAATCCATCACATCAAATTTTTTATAATGTTTAAATAAAAATTATAGTAAAAAAAAAAACTTGAACTGTGAAATATAATTAACACGTGAGAAATTCTTTTTGATGCTTAATCATAACCACCAAAGTCTGGTTTGCCTTTAACTACATATATACTAAATGATTTCAGATGATGTAAAGTAAACGAAATACATATAAAATAGTTTCTTAATTACCTGAAAAGACCATGCATCTGATTCGCGCGCTCTTCGAGTATCCATAGCCTTTAACTACATAAATATTCCTTTCACTCAATTGGTTTCCTCAGAAAATTAACCAATATTCTTAACAACAGGATTGTTTGGACATCGAACTCCACTCCCCTCGCCGAGAAACACAGACTTCAAATTACTGAAACGTGAGAAGAATAGGTCTCTTTAGATTAAATTAATTTTGTTTCAATAGATTAAGCCACTTAACCAACCAGCTGAATGAAATCAACCGAAAAAAAAATACTTAACAGTGTTTTATTTTTTATTTTTCTATGCTGATGAGGCGGCATCGAAAATATTTTTTGTGTATAAATTCAAAATTTTTTAGCCCATTGTCTTTCTAAATTACCCCCTTCCTAAAAGGAGTTCTTGTGTATATACCAAAATCTTGTCTTTATTATTATTAAAGTCATTCTCTTGAGATTCAAAAATACTCATCTGAATAAATCTTAATCTCACTTTACATTTTTACCAGCTCATCATATGTGAGTTTTTATATTTTGTTATAACCTAGTATACTTTCATTCCAATGTCATACTATTTATTTTTTTAACTCACTCATTTCCAGAGCTACTTTTACACAAAATACTCAATATTAATTTTGAATCTATTTCATATTTCAACAAATTAATTGGTATACATTGTGAGTCATTTTTTTATTTTAAATGGTCAGTTACAATGTATTTTTTAACTAAATATTTAATCCATAAACAAATTTTGCTGCCTCTAAGCCCAAAGTTCCCCTTCATTTTTTGAGCCCACTCATATTCATAGTTATTTCTTTTACATGGTTAGATGTACTTGTAACCAAATATCTTAATTATTATATTTTAGCTTTTGCCATGTTAATGTTACAACACAATGAATTGTAGATGTGAGTGTTTTTTGCCTCATTTGTTTTTAAACTCACTCACTCTTTAAAAAGAATTTTATCTCTAAACCGAAAGATTTACCTTTGTTTACTTTTAGACCTACACACTTTCTAGATTACCTTGGATCTAACTTACTTGAAAGAATTAATTTTAAACTACTATTTGTTAATAGTTTTGTATCATTGTACGATGATATATTTTGCTTTAACTTGGTATTTTACTTAAAGTTTTAGGTGTAAAGCATACTTTTAGACTAAGGGCATGTTTGGTTCGTTTCCTAGATATAGAGAAATGCATTTCCATGTACAAAAACACAAGTTTTGAGTTTTCCAAACTTTTCCAAGAAATAGATTGTTTCGTTTTGGTTCGCACAAAAAAATAGTGGGAAACCAATGTATTTATTTTTCTTGTGTTTGGTTCGCATGGAAAAAAATGGAAAACTTTTGTTTATATGGTAAAAAGCCGACGTGGCTGCAGTTTTCGTCGATTTCACGAGGTTGATGAAGGAATTGGGGGAGAGAAAAAAATCTGATGTGGCGGCGATTTTCACCGAGTTTCCCTTCTTCAATCCTAGCGAACCAAAGATGAAAAAAAAACCGACGGAAAGCTTATATCCTACGTGGCCACGAAAAATCTAATGTGGAGGCGGTGTAAAACTTTTCCACCGAGTTAAAAAACGAACCAAACAGTCTAATTAAACTATACTTTTTGGTTGTTGTCACACAAATGCGGGAGTGTTTTTGCCGTTTCTATTATTCCAAAAAAAGCAAACGTGTTTGGCAAATGTCGTGTCTTTTTGGGCTGACCCATCAAAAATCCCAAAAATAAACGGGTTACTCGAAACGCCAAAAATAAACGGGTTACCCAAAAATAAACGTTTTTTTTCCCAAACCGATCTCAAGCTCTCTCCCCTCAACAACTCCCATTCTACCTCCGACTCGCCGCAAACCGCCGAAATGGCCCGGCCACGCTCCGATCAGAGACGCGTCCGCCGCCTTCCGACTACGACGCCGACCGCTAGGGAAATCGTTCAGGTCCGATTTCTGTCCATATCTCCTATCAAAGTATTCATTTGTTCTCTTCAACATTCTGATTTGTCTCACTTTATCTTCGCACAAGCTTTCTTCTTCCTCTCACTCCCTTCTCAACTTTGCACTAGTTTATTGCTATAATCCGTATATTTTCATTTGATTTCCCCCCTAATTTGTGTTAATTTTACTTTTGCTCTAATTTCTGTCAATTTAATCTTTGCCCTAATTTTATTTATTCCCTCACATCATGCTCTAGTCTAAAGTTTTCTTCTATAATTTTTTCCCTAATATTATCCTAAAAATTTCAAAAAAATAGGTATCAGGAACTATTCCTGCATCCAAATCTAGTTCTGTACATCTCTTTGAAATAGGCCCTCAAGATTTGAAGGCTGTGAGTTTGGTACAAGCGTACCGCATATTAAACGATGTATCAGGATAAAAAAAAAAGCATTGTCATCATCATTTTCATAATTACTTGTTAATTGCAAAGAGAAAAAGAGAGACTATAACTACTTTGTTAATTGCAAGCATCCAAAATAGTCCTTTGGACATTTTGTTGCAAATGCTTAGAATTTTTTTTTAAAAAAATTGAATTATAGGCATAAAAAAAGCTCTCAAATGGTGGTTAGCCGCCGG